ACAACCATTGGAGGTCACTCAGGTCAAGTGGCATCTAACACTGAACGTACTTTTATTTAGTGGCCCACCATCAAATCTAGAAAAATTTGATTGTGGGCCAAACGGAAACTCCCAATTGGTTTTGGTGCCGACAATTTTCAACTTTAAACGTTGAACCTATTTCATAAACGTAAATCACAAAAAACCAAAAAATGGAGAACCTCGGCATTGATCCGAGTGCCTCTCGCATGCTAAGCGAGCGCTCTACCATTTGAGCTAGATCCCCTTGAGACAAGGCCAGCCATTTACGTAAACGCCAATGCATCAAATACGAATTTGAATTGGCTGCTGCCATCAGTGAGCTGTGCCCGACACCATGCCAGACTGACTGCACTCCCACCCGACCTGACAGCAGCAGAGCCAGAAAACTAAACGGCCAGACTGCTGCTGGAGCACCATCTGACGGCGGGTTGTGGGCTACCCTAACAGCCATATCAGACAGCAGCGTTGGGTTGCTTCACCCATTGGCCTGGGATAGAGAAAAGGCAGCAAAAAACAAAAAGTGGAGAACCTCGGCATTGATCCGAGTGCCTCTCGCATGCTAAGCGAGCGCTCTACCATTTGAGCTAGATCCCCTTGAGACAGTAATTTCCAGCCGCCATCACAACCAATCAGTGCTAATCTAAAATCTGATGGACGCCAATTGCCATGCAGATCCCTGCACTAGCTATTCAGTCGTGTTTCCACCCATTTAATCTGGATGTAATGATTATCGTGATTTGAGGCTGGTAATTTCGTGATTATCCCTTTTGGCTGGGAGTCTTGTACACGGCGTTTGCTCGAAGGTTGGCCAGTTCACACTCGCTCTTACAAAGCAGATTGCCAAGACCATCACTTCACACCACAACCCAAGCTACTGCTGCACTGATTCGCTCCTTGCCAGCAACTATCGCGTCCAACCACTTGCCCGATAACCATCCCATCATTCCTAATGCATTACTGGTTCCACCGTATTCTCAGATGGTCGTTCTGGGCAACCAGTAGAGACGTATCCACAGAACCAAACTCCACCTGAAGCGCACGAGCCAGCAAAGGAATCGAGAATCATCTCGACCAGGTAAAGGATGCATTGTGGCCTATCGATATGTGCTTCCATCAGCCTCCTCTCCGACCAATGCAAAAAAAGGGCCTCTACCGGATTCGAACCGATGACCTCTCGCACCCAAAGCGAAAATCATACCCCTAGACCAAGAGGCGCCTTGATTAGTGAAAACCGCAATTGTACTAACCGTGTTCAAGGCTACCAAAGTTCATTCGTGTCTCTAAGGTGTCCAGAGGTGATGAGGGCAGAGGGGTTGCGTTACTACTCGATGGCCTTGCCGTTAATCTATATATTAACGCTATAATCTTTGTCAGTGTGAACTGCTCAGCCTTTTATATCCTTCCGCACTGGACACGAACTGACTTTCTAAGGGTAATTAGAAGACAAGTGAATCACACGATCATGCATGATATTGCTGCGTCTTGGATTGCACTCATACAAATACAATATTTTTTGTGTGAGAATACATTTTGTTTAGGTTTGAAACCCCCTTTATATCTATCAACTTGAATGAGAAACCGGGGATGCACAAGATGCAGACTAGGCGCAAGGGGAAATACCACACACAGACTTGACTTCGCCCACACAGATGCTGTCCCAGGAGGTGTTTCCACAATACGAGTCAGCAGCAATGATCTTGGCAACACAAGGGTC